AGTATAAACTGTCGTATTATCATGCTATGGCGTATCATAGCATCGCATAGGTGCAGGAAAGTAGTCTGTGACTGCACGGTGCGGACGTCATATCATTTGTCAACGGACGTAATTATTTCGATTCTTAACGTGCTCCTCAATTTTCTCTTAACGCGTAGACAGACCATTACACCGACAACGGCAATTGCACATCAGACCTGAACCAACCTGAACTGTTAGGCCGATCGCACACGGTGCAACCGAACCAGTTTCAAACCACTCTGAAACTAGTTGCAAGCGACCGTGAATCCAATTTTTCAGTAGGTAAAACAAAGAGCGCAAACGGTTTGCAACACTAATTTCAAATCGGTTGCGCCGTGTGCGATCGGCCTTAGGCATTCTTGTGCTGAGTTGGCAGTCTTGACAACTCTCTAACTGTACTGTATATCAGATGGTACCGTGAACCGTGAATTCAAAGTGGTGTTTAGTAATGAATGTACTTAAGCGATATACTTAAATATTATTACTTAATGAGCTATGAGTGGCCAAAAATTTCAATATGACGAAAGTGGCGGGACATTTTTCTATTTTTTGCTATCGTTTCTGGCGCTTCTCTTGATACCTGGAACGTATTACCTTTGGCCACGTTGCCCGAAGCAAGGTTAGATTTCTATTATTCTATTTGGTTTAACATAGAAATTAAATGACATTGCCATCAAGTTCCGTAATTCTTAATATTTCCCCCCAATTTGAAGAATTTCGACTTGTTTTATGCTTCCTTCTGCCAATATGCAAACCCGCTCCATAATGTTGTGACAGAAGACTAATCATCTCTTAATTGTGAATATCCCGTTAGTAATTTACTAATAATCTCGCTAAGAACGAACAGTATTTGAAATATTCGTACACAAAGAAAACGTTATCGAAATATTCGATGCTCATGGACGTACGAACTTTTCATTTGGTGTTCATTTATATATTTAAAAAATATATGCGACTAATACATATGTACAATGTTTTACGAACAACTTTGACTCCCCTCTAATTTACACCTATTAGCAGTACGTTTTAACAATTGATGTAAAAAATTATTTGATTAAGTTTGCAACACTATACAATGCACTATAAAAATGATTTTACTCCAAATAAACGAAAAATTCTAAAAGATTCTATACGTTGAAGTTCTTGTTTAAATAATTTCAAGTCGTGACGATTTAAAAAATTGGTCAATCTCTTTTAAATCAATAGAAATTTTATAACAAGTTTATACTTTAATAAAGCGTTACATAAAATACACATAAAAAAATTAACCTTGGACATGATTGTTATCTGTAATTAGATCCTGATCAAGAGGCAAAAGAGTGTCAGTGCGATGGATGTAAAAAGAAAAAGATTATCCTGCAACTTAACGAACCTTGGAAAGAAACCAAAGCATTGTTCACGTAAGATAATGTTTAGTGTGTTGCTGCTTTTATATATAAATTATAAAGCTTTCTTTTAATATTACTATATCGTTATAGAAAATTCCTTATTATCCTTGGATGGGTAATCCTTATTTTTCTGGCATATAAAGTATCACAATTTGATTATGAAATGGCCAATTTTGATCCATTTGAAATACTTGGAGTATCTGCTGTAAGTGTATTAGATACAGAAGTATTTCATTTATACAGAGACACATGTATTGATAATATTATGATTATTTATAGGGTTCATCACAGAGTGACATTAAAAAAGCTTATCGTAAACTGTCTTTGATTCTCCATCCAGATAAAGAGACTGGAAATGAAAAAGCATTTATGAAACTAACCAAAGGTTCGAATTAAGATAAAATATTGTAGAATATATAAATCACTAACAGATATGCGCTTTTATACTAGCAGTTAGTTATATAACAATTTAAATATATATCTCTAATTTGTAATAATGCCATTATAAAAATAATATCAACTGTAGATATTAATATCTTTGGTTGCTATTAAAAAGTAATAATATTCTCCTCCATATTAATAGCTTATCAAGCATTAACGGACGATGAAGCACGCAAAAATTGGGAGAAATATGGAAATCCAGATGGTCCACGAGCAATGAGCTTTGGTATAGCCTTACCATCCTGGATCGTTGAAAAAGAAAATTCTGTATGGGTTTTGGGATTATATTCCTTGGTATTCATGTTTGCTTTACCAACTGTTGTTGGAATGTGGTGGTATAAGAGTATTCGTTACACCGGTGATCAAGTAAATACACAACTAATTTTAAAAGACGACTTAACATTCATTGAAAAAAAAAAACAGATTGAATTATTTTATCATTTGTTCTTAGGTTCTATTAGCAACTTCTGAAATGTATTCTGTCTTCTTTATTAAAACATCTTCAATGTCCCTGAAAAGAGTCATCATGATTTTAGCTGCTTCTTTTGAATTTTATAAAAAACAAAATGCAGAAATAGTTGAAAGGCATACAGATAGCGAGGAAGTTTATTGGGTAAGATATAGTTTACGACATTTTAGTGAATTTTAATTGTTTCATACAAATTTTGTACAGTTTGTACACTTTGTTACTTCCAGCTCATCAAACAGTTACCTCAGTTAGGAGCAAAAAATAAGGAAGGTCCATTGTGTAACTCATATTCAATTAAAGCTAGGGCTTTACTTCATGCACATTTGTTTCGTATACCATTAAATCCAGAAACATTAGACAAAGATAGGCAGTACATAGTGAAAAAGTGTCCATATTTAATTCAAGGAATGGTAACTACTGTTAATCGAGTGATTTTATTAGCTTATGCTAAAAGAGGTAAATGAGTATGCTTTACAAACTACGAATTTTTTTCTGTTTGTATAAAATGCTTTTATACACTAAATATGGTATAATCAATATAGATTTTAATGTTTTTTTCATTCAGTTTCACGTTTACCAAGTATAAAAACGGTGGAAAATTGTATGAAACTATGTCCAATGATAGTACAAGGTTTTTGGGAATTTAAAAATCCTCTTTTACAATTACCACATATAACCGAAGATAATTTAAAATGTTTCTTAGCAAAAAAGGTATGATGTGAATATAATTTTATATGTAAACATTCTATATCATATTTAATTATATTGTATTTAGAAGCTGTTGTAGTAATTAGATTTTATTATTAGCATCAAATCAAAAGTCTTCAACAATTTGCACAATTGAAAGGAGAAGAAAGAAGACTGATCCTTAGAAATTTATCAGATAGCCACTATGAAGATGTTATGAAAGTTCTTGGAAGTATGCCATACATAGAATTTAAAGTACGATCCGAAGGTAAAATATGTTTAATATTTAGTCCAACATAAATTTTCTCTATATTAACATATAAAAAATTGTTCGATCTAAACATGACTACCAATTTTGCTAATGCAGTAATTGACGACGAAAATCCAACGGTTTATACTGCTGGTGCTATTGTGACCGTAACAGTATCGTTAACTCGCAAGGATATGAAACATTTATTTGGAGACGATACTGTCAAGGAACAAGTAATGATCGATGACAGTAAAGTAGGTACCGAACCTACCGATGAAGTGTCAGAGGAGCAAACACAATCTGTTAAGAAGCCAGCATGGCTTAGACAGAGGAAAGGTCAGAAAAAATCCCATAAAAAAGGCACTAGTAAAAAATCTACTTCTATAAAAAATGCACAGACACAGTCCCAGTCTGGCAATAATAATGCTCAACAAACAAATACTCCTAATTCAAAGAAAAAAGAAGATAAAGTAGAGAAAGAGTCTTCCAAAGATAAATCGTCAGATGTTAGCGATAGCGATGTTGACAGTGATAGAAGCGACGACGATGACAGTCATGATAAAAAGGATGTAACTATCGATGATGATGATGATGATACAGAATGGGAAAGGTAAAATATTGCTTTTGTGTTGCATTACTATTTGTAACATTAATTGTTATTACCGACATTATTACTTTCAATATTCGTCAACATTTTTATAAATAGGTTTCAACAAAAAATTTCAAAGAGAGAAAAAGTTCTCGAGGGAAGAAGTAATTTATCACATGAAGTGCATTGTCCACTATTTCCAGATGTTAAACAGGAATACTGGTGGGTTTACATCTGTGATCGTAAAAGTCAAACTTTACTGACACCGCCTATTTATGTCACATCATTAGCACATTTTGAAGAAGTTCAGTTAAAATTTACAGCACCACGATGGCCAGGTGTTTATACATTTACTGTATGTTTACGTAGTGATTCTTATCTTGGCTTTGATCAAGCTCAAAATATTAAGGTATGCAAAGACATTCATTTCGTCTCACAAAACAAATTTAATTTTCTGGAATTCACATTACCATATCGTAATTATAAAAATCTCCTGCAGTTGGATGTGAAAGAAGCACCAGAAATACCTAGAGAACATCCTCAATGGGACATTTCTGACGACGAAACTGCAGAAGACATTGATGCAGCTGATGAACATTCCGAGTTCACAACCGACGAAGATATCAGTGACAATGAGTAATATCTATTTCTCTTGTGAGATTAGACAAATAGATATTTAAAAAATTCGCGTTTTTTCCTCTTTTTTTACTTATCAAGTTAATGTACAATGAACTTTTATACGTGGAATTGCATAATCGTTGATGTATGTGGACAATCTAGCAAAATAGTATGGTGTGTAAAGATTTCTCAACGAAGAGAAAGTAACGGTAAATAAAAATCATAATATTTATTTTAACATTGTTGTTTAATCCTCAGTTTAGGATGTGTATACAATTTTTTAATAAAATATACCAAAATATAAAACACGAATTTTTTCGTAATTATTAACCGTTTCAATATTTAGAATTTAACAAAATATTAAATGGTAATCTTAAACAGAACTATTCATTTTTATACGAGTGAAAGCAGAGTGAAAACATTTCTGTAATACATGTTCATTCAACCATACGATTTTTTGTTAAATGTAAAGGATAAAACATACTAATGCTGTTCTACTATGGAGTAGTCAATGCCTTATTTCTGCCATAAACACAATGAATCTTAAAATATCGATCGTTTATTTTGTAAGTATACTTTATATAAAAAGTAGTAATACATATATATACATTCTCGTAACTACGCGTTACTAATAAATTTTGTTATAGATACTAAACAAACGTATGTTCATATATTTGTTCCTATACATCGTATTCAGTGCTATTTCTAAAGGAGGTAAGTTCAGTAATATCTAAAATATATTCTTTGTATTCGATATTTTACATGTATTTTTCTGAGACATATCAAGAGTGTCAATCTAGAAAAGCACCTTTACATAATGCGTATAAATTAAAAGCTATTCGCATGCCTTTCTATATAATATGACACCCTCGATATATTATTTACAGTTTATTAAGAATACAACAGTAAATCAAGACTGACAAATGCTATAACTATACTTTAATTGTACATATCACACATGTATTTGTATATATACATTTAGATCTATATATATACACAACAAAGAAAGAATTAAATTTGTAATCTAACCTCAAAAATTACAATCTTCCGCAGATTCCTTAACCTCATCTAATGATACTCGGTGGAAAATGAAACAGAAGAGTAGTATGAATGGACCCACTTACACATTTCTTAAAACAGATAAACATGCGAATATCAAGTGGGGTGTACGATATTATATTCCAAGGCAACTAAACATACCAACATATACTGAAAATATTGATTAATGAATTTTTGACATTGTTATCACAGCTCTAAACTAACCACCTCCATGTATTTCTTTTGTAACTCTATCAAAAAGTGATTTAATCTGTAAAAATAAAGAGAAAAGTAGCTCTATTATTATCGTTTACATATAGTATTTGAATTACAATTTGTAATGAAAAATTCGATTGCACTTACGTATGACGTAACACTAAATTGTCATATATTAAATCATTTTCTTCATCTGTAGTTTCATTAGGTTTAACAACAGGAACATTTGAAAGCTGCTTATCAGTTAATTCATTCGACATTTTGATATCATTATTACCCAAAGTAGTTAGCATTTCATTGTGTACGGCAACGGATGTGTTTAAGTATGCTTCCTTGTTAGAAATGTGAGGTATATTACTAAAAGTGCAGTTTGTTACATTTTGAAGTTTTTCGTGATATACTGTCGTCATAACTGCGACCGAATCAAAAATTCTTTCCAATGTTAACAATTCAACTTCTAATTTTGCCATGCGTCTAAAAGAAATAATTTTAATCTAACATAAAGTAGTTATAATTAAATATCAAGTATAAATCAATTCATACATATACATACTTTATTATCTCAGAAATATTTTCATTATTAAATTGTGCTTCTAGTACTTTTAAAAATTCAAAGATTAATTTTACCATTTCTGTTGGTCTTACACCTTTATGAGATTTTTCATTCTTACACTGCTCAAATATTTTGACTGCCTTGTCGTACCTACAAATTATCAAAATGTAAAGCAGTTTTCACTAAACGATATTTAAAACTGTGTAAGAGATAACATTCACTTACAATTGCGATACATTTTTAACACAATCAATACTCTCAGCTTTATTTTTTAATTCATTACTTTCTCGTATTAACGGATTGAATTTTAATTTGATTTGATCAGTAGCCTTAGCAAGTTTAGTAATTTTTTCAAATTTAATTTCTAAAGCCTCTATCTTTTTTTTATTTACGAATTCCCTTTCCCATTCTGTACGAATTGTGGATAATTCCCTCAAAAGAGCATTTATACTTGTTAATGCATTTGTTATGTTTTTATCGAATATATTATGTCTTGAAACTAATAAATCCCTGAAATTTTACATTATCGGAGTTCATTAAGCAGAAAAAATAAACTTTTAAGAATAAAAATGTATGATGCACTTACACTTTTATAGTCAAAGCAAAAATATATAGTTGAAACAGATGTACTTCTTGCGAGGTAAAAAATATTGCTGCGCGATAATAATCTTTCAATGTTTCAAAATCCAATTGATCTCTCGATAATTCTATCATTTTCTGAACTAATATAGGAATATCTGGTACATGTGTATTTCCCATCAAAGTACTTCCACTTTCAAAGACAAACATAACTGGATCCTAAAGTATAATTATTAACTTAAGTGGAAAAAAAATATGAAATAAGTTATCTGATATAAATTTTCTATTGTTTTAAGAAAATAAATTGATACTGTAATAAATGCAAAAATTTATTCAGTACTACTTTATACCTTGGAAATTTGAGACAAAACTGATGTCCCATTTATGAGAACTTTACCAAAGTAATTTGTTAAAATTTGTTGATTTACTGGTATATTATCATCTTTTTCAATCATAGATTGAATATCCATGACAGTAGTACTGTCAGCTACTTCATATGCATTAAGTTTATATCTCGATGCGGAAAATACATATACTATCTATAAAAATAAAATATATGAGTAATGACAATATTTAAACTATAAGATGGTAAAAGATTCGGTTGCTTTTTCTTCATAGAAGAATTTTTGTATTAACATAACGAAAATGCAAAATATACCTGTTTGGATAAAATGGTATTAAGTAATTTAAATACTACGAGTTGCATCTCTCCATTTTCATCACACTGTTTTCCTCTTTTCCTTGGATCCCATTGTAACACCACTCTAAACCACTCTACCAGTTTATTTTTGAGGCATCTGACATAGATTCAGTTTAAGATTGAATTAAATTACTCAATTATTATACCTTTACTTAATTAGTCCTAAATGTATTCTAAAAGTTGATACAAATTCTGCAACATTACCTTGACAGTTTAGTAAGATCAGTAATATTTTCACTAAAAACTACTTTTCCATCCGACTCAAAGGCACAAATGTCATTATCACTTTTATTTTTAATATATTGCATCCTATATAAATACAAATTAATTAATATTAAATGATTTCCTTATTTCATCGTGATTATATAACATACCACATCATAGTATGTTGCATCTTTGGGAAAAATGGTCTTGTACCAGTGACAAGTTCATAGAAAAAAATGCCTAAACTCCAATAATCCACAGAACAACTATATTTCTGTTTCCAAAGGAGCTCTGGAGCTACATAATTTAATGTGCCTACAATAGATGCAGATATACTAGCTTCACCAAGTTCTTTTGCATATCCAAGATCTATTAATTTGTATGAAATCTGAAACATATTCTCTATGTATGTTTTGTGTCTACTCACATTATCATACTACTCACATTATCATGTTCATCTTGCAAAACTATATTTTCAGGTTTCAAGTCACGATGTGTAATATTTTTAGAATGTAAATATTCTACAGCTGAAGAAATATCCTTCATTACATTAATTGCTTCTTTTTCGCTAATACCACAGCAATTTTCTATATTATTTAAAACCTGCAATATAATAAAACATCAACAACATAAATACATATTCTTATTACATTAAATAGAAAAGATAGTAAATTCTGAAACTTACCTTTCTAAGATCACCTTTCCGACAAAATTCCATGCATAATATTGGCAACTTTATATTTTCATCTGGATATCTAAATGGTAACTCTAATGATTTTATAATATTTTTATGATTCAAGTGTTTCATTATCTCTACTTCCTTGACCCATCTGTTTTGTTGTGAAACTGATAAATGTTCGATATTCCATTTACATTTCTTGATTGCTATAATTTACAGAATATTGGGTTACAATTTTATAGGGACTTTATGATATTTGAATAATTATACTGCTAGTATATGTTGCAAAATTAAATAGTAAATATAACATACCAAGTTTTTTATCACTTGTGTGAACCCAAAGTTCAACAATACCAAATCCTCCAGTACCAAGAATTTTATTTAATCTCCAACCATCAACTAAAACTGGTGTAGCAGTCATGTTAAATGTGTTTACTAACAATAACAGATACTCGAATTATAAAACAACATGTCAGATCGTGAACTATTTAATTTATTAAGAACTATTATAAACGTCACATTTTATTCTGTTATCATATACACTAGTTGTGGAAGAAAAACAAATTCATGTCACAAGTTTGCTCCACTATAATCTAAATAATGATTACAACTTGTAAAAGTGTATGCATTTATGAAAAATAAAGTATAATTGATTGAAACATATTGACGGCGCCGTCTTATAGAAACAGCGGGAACTATTTTGACTACAAACTTGAGCGTTTTCCCACCGATGGCGCCACCAATATTATTCAACTCGCCATCTAGCGGCAACAGTTTGAATTATATTAATTACAAACTTGTGCGGTTTCCCACCGATGGCGCCACTGGTATTAAAACCAGTAATTAATATAGTTCATGATTGGTTGCTACCAGGGAGTGGAAGTGGGAAGAATGAATGTAATATGTTAAAAACAAGTCAACTATGGGTATCTTGATTTGTATTTATTTCTTACTAATTAAGATACATCACGGAAACATCACGGAACATATACATTATAGAGACATTTTTCGTCAGGCAACTGCAACCGCATCTTCAGCTACAGCTCCAGCTTCACCTTCAACTGACACTTCAACTTCACCTGCACCTGCACCTGCAAATACAAATGCATACTGCAATTCAGTTTCTCGGTAATTTTTTTCAATAATTCTCATTTCATTTACCTGTAATATAATTTCACATTACATTTTCTACCTAATTCCACGTAATCTCCCAATAAATATCCTTCCATTTTTCTTTTATTTCCCTCCATTTTCATTCCATTTACACATGTCCCTTTAATATTCCTCCATTTCCTGGCATATTTCCCTTTAGTTTCCTTCAATTACCTTACACATGTCCCTTTAATTTTCCTCCATTACCTTACACATGTCCCTTTAGTTTCCCTCCATTTCCTGGTATATATCCCTTTACTTCGTGGTACATTACCGTACAATTTCCCCTCACTTCTGTGATATTTCCCTATAATTTCGCCTCATATCTGTGATATTTCCTGATTTAACAATGTTGCGAATTGCTTCTCTCGGAACTACAACAATGTTGCAAGTTCAACAAAGTCGCAAATCGCTCAACACGGAATTCAACAAAGTTGCAAATCGCTCCACACAGAATTCAACAAAGTTGCAAATCGCTCCACGCGGAATTCAACAAAGTTGCAAATTGCTCCACACGGAATTCAACAAAGTTGCAAATCGCTCCACGCGGAATTCAACAAAGTTGCAAATTCAACAAAGTTGCAAATCGCTCCACGCGGAATTCAACAAAGTTGCAAATTCAACAAAGTTGCAAATCGCTTCA